TGTTTGATGGGGGTGCTACACATCTCCTGTCCCCCTGAACTGGCCAGCACTTGGTTTAGTTTCTCAGAAACTGGAGCAAACTTTGGTGCAAAACTGTAAGGTGAGGGGAGCTTCAGACAAAAAACACTTGATACATAGAAAGAAAGAAAATACTCTGTAATGTGATTTCCACCCTCCCGTCAGCCTTATGTATGGAGTTTACAAGAATCAGAATCAATAATGTAAATTGACAGTACTGCTTGTTTTTTTGTGAATTACTGCTCAATAAGTGAACACTGGGCTTGTGTGTGAATTTCCTAGAAAATAGACATTTTATTTTTCTTTGAGACTAGATGGACTGAGGCTGATAAAGATAAAGATAAAGATAAAGATAAACTTTATTCATCCCGAAGGAAATTGTTTTGCCAGAGTACAGTTAAAGCAAGCACTTGATGTGATCCCTGTTTGATATCCTGCTGGTGTTTGGGCTTTATGCCTCTCTTTCTCCCTGATACTACTGGGAAAGTAACCCTTAATACAAAGTGAACTAATAACATATCATCTGTATGTATTAACTCCAGTAACCAGTCTGTTCGGTTCACCTATGCATTTGTGTTCCACAGAAACAAAAGCTATACAAATGAAGAGTTCATTTGCAACAACAGATAACTCCATCTTCAGTCAGAAAACCCACTTTTCCATCATCTATCTGAGACAATATCAATCAAACTTAAGTTATCTCTATTTTTGTCATTTCATTTCTACTGAGTCAAATCTACTCAACCTCAGTTTGATTGATATTATCTCAACAAACAACAACAAAAAAAAACGTTTTCTGAAAATCTACAAAAATGGAGTTATCTATTTTTGCAAACGAACTCTTCAAATATAGAATTAAAACCTAGCTGACACAAGATGTGTAACTTTGGCTGATAACATAAAAAAATCCCCAACACCTTTACTCTACCTTTTCTGACATTCAACTTTTTGACTGCATTCCATTCATTAATGCAGCTTCTTGCATTTCTAGCTACTCGCCTGTTGATACTTGTTGGGGATGTGGTAAAATTTGTTACAGATAGTCAAGTTCTCCAAAGGAGCCATTACATACTTTGGCAATTCTGACTTTGCCTGTAGCACCTTCAGCTGGTCAGATTTTAATTTATCCAGCAAACTAGCTCACCATCTACTTGATAAATTGGCATAACTTTGTGCACACCAACATTGTTCCACTCAGAACCACAACACTTCAAGTGGGAAACAACCAACAGCTGACCATGACCTTAGTAACAACAAAACATTACCTGGCTGCTGTCTATTCTTGGCTCTCCTCTGGCATATTCTCTGTGCGCCGCGGCCCCTCTCTCAGCAGCACCACGACTGAGCCTTGGAGGTTCCTTGGAAGGAACCACAGGGGTTAATGTATCCCTGAGTCCTGGGCTCTGCTTCTTAGTTTCCTTGGTGATAGCTGGAGTAGCTGGGGCAGAGGAGGAGGGAGGGAGCAGCTCCTTGCTTTTGTTAGTGTTTACATGTAGAGGTAGGAAGTTGTAGGGCTTCTTGTTCTCTCCAGCTAACTGCCGCTGGTTGTTGGCAGCTGTAACACGACCCTGGGAGTCACTGCCGATGCTCCTCTGAGTAAGAAAAGAAGACACAAGTCAAACAAAACACCACTCAAGGATCTGGGCATTTTCTTTTGAAGACTTTAAGAGATGCAAGGATTCAGGCTTTTAGTCACATTTTTACTGTGTCAGACCTCTGAAGTTTGTTAATGTATGGCACAGAATTTTAATTTAAATTGCAAAAAGTTGACCTTGTACTGTTAACAAGCACAGTTTTACAATGTTTTCATGTTCAAAACTCATTGCATATACTGGTACATAAATATGCTGTTGTGAATAACTGTGCTACAGGGATGGAAATTTGAGCCCTCCAAAACAGAAAATAATTATTCTGATCATCAAGGCGATGCCTTACAAATAGTTGAACCTTTACACTGTTCTTCTACTTTCCCCACTGAAAGTTCTCACATTCATCTCCCATTTTCTAGTGCTGCTCAGCCACTCTGCCACCCTCAGCAATGTGGTAGAACAAGGTCAGCGAAACAACTCCGTATCAAACTATGAAAAATATTTTGTTCTACCTCTATTGGCTGCTGGAGCACCACACCAGCACAGAGGCATTTAACCACTAAACAACAAGTTTACATTTTACTTGTGTTTTGTCTGTGATAACCGTAGACCAGTGAATACAGGATTTTTGAAGCTGTTACCCATTTGAGAGTAATGGCTCTCAATAACAAAAGTCTTCATACAACACAAGACACAAATAAACCCATACTGTTTTTAACAACTGTGGCGAAGAAATGCATTGGGTAGGAAACTTTAAGCCTACAATTATACTTGTTCCTACACACTGATAGGCAAACTAAAGAATGGTGACAATGATTCAAATTATATCTGAAGCAATTTGTACTAGTGTAACGTATGAGTTGACATACTGATTCTAATATATCTGCAATATGTGGCTTTACTATATTATTGCACTCCTGTGGCGATCACATGCATCCTTGCACACATGGTGGCAAAAGAAATTCAAACAGCAGGACCTGTTCATTTCTCTACAATGCTAGTAGTGGTTGAAAATCTACTGAGTGCCTTTAAAGACCAACTTCACATCTAATGACTGGCCACATAGCCTCCGGTCAAATGTTTATTAGTGCACTGAGTTGCTGCACAACAGCTCGAGTTCAAGACCACCAAATCTTTTACCCACAGCACTTAAAACAGGACAGAGTTGACACATCACTACCAGTGGGTCACGCAAGCCACCATGTATCAAATATTCAGTCTTAAATTAACAACATACTGGCACTAAACAAAAAAAAGTATTTCTAATTGAATGCAACAGCGTTTTACCTCGTCCAGGTCAGTAAAATTGATCCTCTGACGGAGCTTGTCCAGCTCAGCCTGGTCGGGGACAGACATTTGGGTGGTGTATTTGATGTGGGGGAAGGAATGAGGAGTGCGTGCTCTCCTGCGGCCAGCCCCTGGGGTGGACTCTGGTGAAATATCATTAGTCAGGCGGCTCTCCACCACAGCGGCTGACAGCTTTTTCTTGTTCTTTTCTGAAGATCGGTTGGCTTTCTTCTGCTGTACACCCCAGTCCTGATCAAAAACAAAAACACCTGCACTGTTAAAAATCATACATGTTTATTTTACAGGGACAGATACAAATCTTACCTACCGTACACATGAGACTTAGCGTGGCACAAATAACCCTTGACAGTGAGACATATTTTACACAGCAGCATGTTACAGTTTAAAGATTGGAGAAAATCACTGTATAATAAATTGGATGGATAAAAATTAAGCTACCAGTCATTGATGTTTGTATCAGCCCCTTACCATGTTGTTGAGTCTATCTTCCAGACTGCCATTGGTTACAGTCCAGTTGTGCAGCTCTTCTGAACTGTCATCAAAAGGAGTGCCTCCGGTTGCCATGTCACCCCCTTACAGCTTGCTGGAATTCACAACAAAATGCATACTGGTCACCACACAGACACTATTGAACACAAAGCATGATATACACGTCTGTATGGAAAACATTACAATCAAAATGACACTAAAGGAAACTGCTTCCTTACATTTTGCTGACATTCACAACAAAAAGTTACCACATTACATCAACTAAATAAAAAAAAGGAATAGTGTCCATTACAGGAAAATGTGGAACACTTTCAAGTACACTTGTCACTGTAACGTTAACCCAACGTTAGAGGAAACTTGGGATTCAATTAACCTCATTAAAATGTGCAAGTTAGCTATTAATAACTGCATATTGCTCGCCATACCCTAAAACCAACAATGACATCCGCGCTGGTGTTTAGAACAGACAGCTTTTTATGACTCTAATGAAGGTGTTACTGCTAACGTTTAAGCTACAGCAGAAAATGCACCAGTTCTTACCAACACAACTTAAAGTGACTCTACCCTTCAATCACGACCAGCTTGAAAACATCAGTAACGTTGCGCTGATCGTGTTACCGTGCTGTCTATTCTTTGTGACCCGTCTGTTAGCGTTAGCAGCCGTTGGGTTTTGTTTGTGGCCCGCTCGGATTCCCGGGGAAAGATACGAGACATCCCCTCCACCGCGCCGCGACTTGGCGCTAGCTTTCTTTTAAGTTACTGTTCCCACACGATGGCTACTGTTACCTCAACACAGAGAAAGTGCTGCCACGACCACTGGAGCACTTACGCTAGTTATAGCCCCAGAAACGTTCAAACTAGTGTGCATACCTTGTTGGTGAACTTCACTAGCAAAACATTTGTGACCTAGTTCCGTCCTGCAATCGCCATGGCAACACGCAGTAACCCCGATCTGCACCAGTTAGCCCACAATTTAACGTTATCGATAACACTAACAAAAGACGACAAAATGTGATGCTAAACGGTCGCTGAAGTTGTCCAGCTTGCTAGTGCAGGTGGCTGATACTACCTAGCTTGCTACCAGCTACTCACAACAGAGCTAACTTTAAATGTCTCGGTAAAAGTTGAAGCAAACAAGCATCGCGCATAAGGCTAGCAAACTTCAAATTGAGAAGTAGGTCAGTTACGTCGCTGAACTAATGTTTGTACACTGTCAAGACTAACCCACATTAACTTAGCTAAACACAAACGCAGCAGGGTTAAAACTGGCTTTAAGGCATATTGTTTGAAATACACTTGCTACGATAGCTAGCTTACGGTTTAAGGTAAGGAGCGTTGATGTTACCATTCAGAGCCGACAACGGAAGGAAAGGCCGTTGCCTTGCACTTCGTATGCTTCAGCAGAGGTTTTACAAATCCCCCCTGAGTCTGTTAAAAGCCATTTGAGCAAAAAGTAGCGTGTTATCGGTCCTAAAACGCAGCAACTAATGGACGTGAACCTAGCCTGATATACACACTCCCATGCAGCAGGGGGCGGTACACGTTAGCTACAAGCTAATCTTTGACCACAGGAAGCAGTGGCTCTGTCGTTCGCTGTTCGTCTGTTGAAGTATCAAACTCACGAGAGCTTGTAGTTTGGACGGTTTTGTAGACGTGAAGAAATCGAAAACTCGCGAATCTCGCCACAACCGGACGCAAATTTCGAGTATAAGATTATATTTCGCCTCCACTCCATGTAAGTTGTATTATCTGTGGATCATTTAGCATTCAAAGCTAATCTGAGCTAGTTAGCTAAGGAAAGCTAACTACGTTCTTGCTATTAATCCAATCAAATCGACGCATACGCATGTGTATTTTCACGCAGCAGTGATTTCTGACTTACTTCTATTGTAATCAACAGAGGAAATCATGGGGTCGTCCAAGAAGCACAAGGAAAAGAGCCGCGACAAGGACGCAGAAGATCGCCGTCGCGAACATAAGAAACATCGCCACAAGGACAGAGACGCTTCAGATCGGGATGGGACCCGGGATAAGGATAAACGAAAACGCTCCAGGTCCAGGGAAAGAAGCAGGCGGGAGAGCCGCGGCAAAGGGGAGAGGAGCACCGGAGAGCCACGAGTGAAGAAAGAGAAGGTAGATCTTGGATATGAGGAAAGCAATACAGAAGTGGGGCCCCAGTCTGCAAGTGGGGACGCGTCTCTCAGCATTGAGGACACAAACAAACTCAGGGCCAAGCTGGGTCTGAAGCCTCTGGAGTTGAATGAGAACAAGAAGGAGCTTGGGACCAAAGAGGAACCAATGGTTGCCGAAACCATCAACCCTGTTCTCATCCAGCAGCAGAAGGAGATGAGAGAGAAGCTGGCAGCTATGAAAGAAAAACGCATCCTCAACCAGAAACTGGGAAAAGTCAAAACCCTGGCAGAGGATGACTGGCTGGATGACACAGCTGCTTGGGTAGAGAGAAGCAGAACGCTGGCAAAAGAAAAAGAAATGGCAGAGAAAAGAGCCAAACTTCTGGAAGAGATGGATGAAGAGTTTGGTGTCAGCAGTCTGGTGGAGGAGGAATTTGCCCAAAACAAACAGGACGCATACACATCCCAAGATCTTAAGGGACTCAAAGTGCAGCACAAGGTGGATTCCTTCAATGAGGGCCAGACTGTCATCCTGACCCTACAAGACAAAGGTGTGCTTGAAGAGGAGGAAGATGTGCTTGTAAACGTGGGACTGGTGGACAAAGAAAAAGCAGAAAAGAATGTGGAGTTAAAAAAGAAAAAGCCTGATTACAAGCCCTATGAAGAAGAAGAGACTGTGGATGACATGGTCACGTTTAAATCCCGCTCTGTGCTGTCAAAGTATGATGAGGAAATTGAAGGTGAAAAGAAAAAGAGCTTCCGGTTGAGCACAGGGGGCTTTGCTGATGGGGAGCGAGAGCGGGAGCTGCAGGCCATGAGAGAAATGCTGCGAAACCAGGCACAGTCCTTGGAAATGCCAGCCCTCACTATCGCCTCAGAGTATTACACACCGCAGGAAATGGTGGGCTTTAAAAAGACAAAACGTCGTGTGAAGAAGATCAGGAAGAAGGAGAAGCAGACAGTTGCTGATGAACTTGCACTGGATGACACTCGCAACACTGATTTTGGCTCCAGGACACGTGGCCGAGGCCGCAAAACAGTGGAGGAAGAGGGTGCAGAAGTAAAGGAGGAGGAGGTAAGATTGCCAGATGAGACACCTGCAATGTCTGATGACATCAGGACGGCAGAAATGGACATAAGCGATGAAGAAGACTTTACACCTCCTGAACCAGCTGTAATTGAGGAGGATGAGGCAGAGCAAGAGCTGCAGAAGCAACTGGAGAAACAGAGGAAGCTGAAGCAAAAGCAGCTTCTCAAGGACTCTGGGGAGAAGGTGGCAGAACAGATCAAAGTGCTCGGTAAAGGTGACAATGACAGTGATGCAGACAAGAGGAACAACATTGTTTTCAATGCCACATCAGAGTTTTGCAGAACCCTGGGTGATATTCCAACTTATGGACTGTCAGGCAACAGGGAGGACCAAGAAGATATCATGGACTTTGAACAGGAAGAAGAGAAAGATGATGCTGGGGATTCAGACTCCGAAATGGATGAGAATGTTGGCTGGAGCACGGTTAACCTGGACGAAGAGCAAAAACAACCAGATTTCTCCACAGCCTCTGCCACCATTTTGGACGAGGAGCCTATTGTCAACTCCGGCCTCGCTGCTGCCTTGCTGCTGTGCAAAAATAAAGGTCTGTTGGACACTCAAATGCAAAAGGTTGCTCGTGTCAAAGCACCAAAGGGCGCCCTTCCCAACGACAACTACTGCATCGAGGACAAGATGGGCTTCGATGACAAGTACAGTCGCAGAGAAGAATACAGAGGCTTCACGCAGGAGTTCAAGGAGAAGGACGCCTACAAGCCTGATGTCAAGATTGAGTACGTAGATGAGTCTGGGCGGAAACTCACTCCAAAAGAAGCTTTCAGGCAGCTGTCACATCGATTCCACGGCAAAGGGTCTGGAAAGATGAAGACGGAGAGGAGGATGAAAAAGCTGGAGGAAGAGGCTCTGCTGAAGAAGATGAGCAGCAGTGATACTCCTCTGGGGACAGTGGCTTTGCTTCAAGAGAAGCAGAAATCTCAGAAAACACCATACATTGTGCTTAGTGGGAGTGGGAAAAGTATGAATGCAAACACCATCACCAAATAAATACTGAGAGTGTATAAGAAACATACACATGCATAAATGCACACACATACACACACACACACCTTTTAATTAAAGAAATTGCTACACTTTAATGTCATAGTTATTACTAGCTTCATTGTTGTATTACAGAATTGTTCAATAAAATGAAACTGGTGAGAAAAGTGTTGTTTGGTTCTTGTGTTGCAAATGTATTATAGTTATTATATAATTATAATTCTTTATGATATACTTTCAAAAATACAATTTTGAGACTTGAAAAATTAACTTAACACAAATTCTAAATTATATAAGCCAGTATTATAAATATGTTTATGGAAAATGTGTACATTACACACTGTTACATTAGGTGGATTTTTTCCCATTGATAGTTTGTCAGCTGCATCATTGTATCATGACATTTAGTGGGTAATTTTCTAAAGAGGATATTTAAATAAATTCATTAAACAATACTTAAGATATTAGTAACCGGTATTTACTTTTTCTGTATCTTAAAGTATTTGTTATTATGCAGGAACCTGTTTTAAACAATTAGAACTGTTAGTTTTAAAAAAAAATAATTCACGCACCTTTTCAGATTGTAAATTAACCATTATGACTCATAAAATGAAAGATTATACAGACGTTTTTTTTTATGAAAGATTATACAGACGTTTTTTTTTAGATAGTGCTTTGTGTAGGATTTTTTTATTACTTATTTATTTATTTATTTATTTTAGTGTTTGTTTTTTTCTAATTTTTATAAGCCGCCAGTCTGAAGCGGAACTAATGTTGGCAGTTGAGGGGCTGGTCGGACGCTATTTGATTGCACAACCTGTAGCAAAGTAGTTAGCAAAGCTATCAGTAGCGAGCTAACATAGCTGCGTCCAACACGACATGTACACCGATAGGTAAGTGTTGCTCGGTGGCGGTACGTGATTACGTCTTAATGTTAATTAAGACATCGAATTAAAAAAACGGCCGAAGGAGCTGCACAGCTGAAAACGACCGTCAGCATCGACTACGACGTGTCATCTTGTTTTACAGCTTCCTGTTGTTTAGCTAGCAGCGAGCTTAGTGGCGGAGAGAGTTTTAAGTAGCTTTGATGTGAGGAATTGGCATCGGTGTAACTTACTTCTCGCTCGCCAGGCTGTTTTTACTTGACACCTGAATGTCACTCGAGCAAATAACTGGTGGATTAAGCCGCCTGTTATCGGCAGTATACGGTGTTTTCCCAGTGTCCGAGAATTGACAGTTAAACGCATTAAACGATAGTTTGCCAAACAGAGTATTAGGTGTCATGCAACGCTCCTCGATTCGTTGTTATTGTGTCATTTGAACAGACACCTTACAGAAACGGAGCTAGCACTAGTGACAAATCCCTGATTCATATTTAGAGGCTTTGATGGCTTTAATTCACCGTCATAATAGGAGTAAACAACATCTGTCAAGTATGGACGAGCTAGCACTTTCTAATGGAGCAGTGTAATCTAAACAAGACCTAATTGCAGGGTTTATGTGTGAATGTAATGCTGTTAGTGTGACTCGAATGACCAAAGCCAAGCAGCAGAATGCCTTAATGATTTAGCATAGATTGGTATTTGGCTATGTGAACTACATGTTTTCCTGTTTCAGTTAGCACAGAATAAATCAACACATTTATGTGTCTTATATAGTGATTGATAAATTGTTTTATAAAGTTATAGGATGTCATTAATTGGAAACACCAACAAGCGCATTTACTCTGATGTCAGGGTCTGTACTACCTTAGAGTCTGGACTGGCTTGGGCATACATGTCGTGTTAAACTTTAGCTTAGTCATTCTATTTCAATAATGTGTCTTACTTATATCTTCTTGCTGTTCTACTAGGCACTGCATTTATTCGCATGCCATGTCATTGTGTTTTTTTCTGAGCAATAAATGGCCCAAGAATTTACTTCCGGATCAATAAAGTTTTATCTTAACTTACCTTAAATCTATATTGGGCACAATGAACAGTTTTAAGTCCAACAATGCAGTATCGGTGTAAACTTTGATCATCTGCTTTCCTGCCACAGGCACTAACCCTGACTAGTAAAACCACAGGTTGTTGTGATGTCTGAGCCTAAGCCCCCTACTCCAACCCCTGGAGACACATACAAAGGTTGGCTCTTCAAATGGACTAACTACATAAAAGGTTACCAGAGACGCTGGTTTGTTCTCAGCAATGGACTGCTGTCTTACTATAGGTAAGCTGTATGTATATTGCTGAAGTCAAAATGATGTGTAATGAAATAAAGCTGCTACCAAGCAGAGGAAGCATGACAAGAGTGTTGTTATACATGTTTGTTTTCAATATAGGAATGCCTCATAATGAGTGTAACTATGTTTTCTTGAGCAGTAACATTAACACCATATAAATCCATGTGTCTTTTTAGCTTTGTTGAAATGAGCAGCTCACATAAATTATTAGAGCTCAGTAAATATACAGTGTGTTTTATAAGAATGAAATGGTCTGATATTATTTTTTACTTCACAAACCAGTTGTTTGGTAACACAACATTTGACTGTCGTCATTTTGTCTGTCTTCAGGACCCAGGCAGAGATGGGTCACACATGCCGAGGTACCATCAACTTGGCCACAGCAAACATCGCTGTGGAGGACTCGTGCAATTTTGTCATTTCCAATGGAGGGGCACAGACCTATCATCTGAAGGCCAGCTCAGAAGTGGAGCGCCAGCGGTGGATCACTGCTCTGGAACTTGCCAAAGCAAAGGCTGTCCGCATGCAGGCTGAGTCCGGTGAGAGGGGTTGGAGAATACAGGAGACATAATGTTGAAATCCACAACAAAGTCTGTATGACTTACATAGCAGCCAGGAACAAATTTGTATATTTCTGTATGTGCAAAGTTTTCTCGTGATATTTTTGTGTTCTTGGTCATTTATTGTCCTCTCTGTCCTTTTGCTCAGATGACTCCGGTGATGATTGCCCTGCAGTCCCCCCAACCTCAGGACAGGGAGGAGGCTGTCGTAACTCAGAAGTCCAGTCCACACTACGCACTCTCAGCAGCAAGGTGGAAGACCTTACCACCTGCAATGATCTCATTGTCAAGCATGGGTCTGCTCTCCAAAGGTAAGAAAAAATTCTATATTTAAGGGAAGGAAAGGCAATAGTAACTTATTGTGTTAGTTTGTTTAAGAAGTGAATTGTGTTTTCGTTCATTTGTTGCTCTATTCCACCAACTCAGATCTTTATCAGAGCTAGAGGGGATTCGTGTTGGAGCAGACATGGGAGAAAAGATCAGACAAGTCACAGAAAGGGCCACACTGTTCCGAATCACCTCTAATGCCATGATCAATGTAAGTTATCCAAGTGTTAATCAAAACAGACCACACCACACTGCTGCAGAGCTTGTTTGCTGATTTGTTGCTCTTGTGTCTGTGTGATCCCCAAGGCATGTAGAGACTTCCTCTCCCTGGCCCAGAATCACAGTAAGCGCTGGCAGAAGGCTTTACAGACTGAAAGAGACCAGAGGATACGTCTGGAGGAGACTCTGGAGCAGCTAGCCAAACAGCATAACCACCTGGAAAGAGCTTTCAGAGGAGCCACGGTTCTCCCCTCCTCATTCAGCAATCCCACCTTAGGTAGCAAAGGTAAAACTCTGATACTCCAGACTTTTTGCCCTGATGTTGCTCTGTGTTGCAGCATGCTTTCACCAGTCAGCTGTTGAGCTTTTCAGTCATTCATTCTTCTGGTGTCTTTTTTTAAATTTGAGGTGGTGTTACAGGAAAAGGTGATGCCAGCGATGAGGATGATGACAACGAATTCTTTGATGCCATGGAAGACCCAGCAGAGTTTATTACTGTCCCTGCTGACCCCAAGTATCACAGGTTATGAACTGTCCTTCTTTCATTGTCATTTTATGTTTATATCTCAGTGTATTTTGTTTCATTCCCTGCCTGTGTTTCTTGTGTTTTGTTTTACATTTTGTGCTTGTGTTTTTCTGTTCTTCAGGAGATCTGGCAGCAACGTCAGTGGACTCAGCAGTGAGATTGGAATGGATGATCAGTCAGTCAATGTGTGTGCTAAGTTTATTTTTCAGATTTTTTTATTTTTTTATTTTTAGCCACTTGTCAACATGCCAAAGCCACATGACCCTTAACGTTGATTTTCTTTTCTTCCATCAGTTTGATGAACTGTCTTTGGCATCCAATCCGGAGTCTCCACAGCCTCTCGAGCTAGAGCCAGTTAGACAAAGACGAACACGTATCCCTGACAAACCCAACTATTACCTCAATCTGTGGAGCATCATGAAGAACTGTATTGGAAAGGAACTGTCAAAGATACCAATGCCTGTAAGAAATCTTTACACTTGTAGGCATGTAAGTCGCTTTTTCCTGTGAACATAACCTGAAATATTAGACTTCTGTCTGTGGTTTTGTGCCTTTTTTTAGGTGAATTTCAATGAGCCCTTGTCAATGCTGCAACGATTATCTGAAGACCTGGAGTACTACGAGCTCCTGGATAAGGCTGCTAAGTGTCAGAATTCTCTAGAGCAAATGTGTTATGTAGCAGCTTTCACAGTCTCTTCCTACTCCACCACTGTCCACCGCACAGGAAAGCCTTTCAATCCTCTGCTGGGAGAAACCTTTGAGCTTGATCGGCTCAGAGAGTGCGGTTACCGTTCTCTTTGTGAACAGGTATGTAGGAAAAACGGATTAACTAACACGAACAGTCTTCATCTGAAGTTATGTAGACTATATTTGGTTTGGTTTATACTCTAGTGCATGTACAGAATCATGTTCAGGTTTTACCTGCTTTCAGTCCAAACATGCTTGAAGTATGTCGGTGCAAGCACTTTTTTTCTGAAATAGCTTGAAGCTATCGCATAATTACAATAAGCATATTTTGAATTTTCTGCCTTTTCTCTCACCTCACTGCACTCACTTTTTCTCAGGTGAGTCACCACCCACCTGCTGCAGCTCACCATGCTGTCTCTGAAAAGGGCTGGACCCTCAGACAGGAGATTGCACTTGCCAGCAAATTTAGAGGAAAATATCTCTCTATCATGCCCTTGGGTGAGTGTGTGCATGTGTTTGTATAACTGCAGGCTAAAAGAATAATCACTGCATGCAAGAGAAATCCCTCGTGCTAACTGTGGGGTGACTGTTGCTTGCAAACATGTTTTTAGTCTGTGTGCACACTGTCACTTTGTACATTGTTTACTTTTTTCAATTTATTTATTTTTATTTCAGTGCAGTATCACATTCAGTGTGTTAAATATGCGGGACAAGTTGTGGTTGAGCAGGACAAACATCAATCAAACGTAACACTGTTTTTCTCTCTGTCACCAGGTTCTATCCAGTGTTTATTTGACAAGAGCAACAATCACTACTCTTGGAAAAAAGTGACCACAACAGTACACAACATTATTGTTGGGAAATTATGGATTGATCAGGTAACCTTGAAGTCATAAGTTGTCGGAAAAAGTAATATACCATCAGGCATATGACAATAAATGATGTAAGTTAAGGTTTATTAACCCTTAAGATATTTAATGTAACATGTTCTTTCTTAATTTTGTCCTGTGACAGTCAGGAGAGATCGATGTGGTGAACCACAAGACAGGAGATCGCTGTCACCTCAAGTTTGCTCCCTACAGTTACTTCTCCAGAGATGTTCCAAGAAAGGTAGGCTTTTTCAACAAAATAATGTTTCCTCAGGTAGTATTTTCTTTCCAGAATTAAGCCATTTTTTCCTGTTTTGCAAGCATTATGCAGAACCTTAGTGATACCTGTATATCTGGTGGATATCGGCAATTTTACATTTAAGTTGCAGAAATGAAGAAGAGCTTACAGAATAGCTCAGGGAGTCCATTCATTCATTTGCTGCATGTCTGCTGCCATTTCGCTCTCTCAAAAGCTTTGCAGCTCCTTGCTGTCACCAAGTCTGCTTTTTGCATATCAAAAGTCCCGCCTACAGCCCAGCATCCACCTGTAGGCCTGTGTGTCGTAGCAGGGGGGACGTTAATATCACCACTCCCTACTCCTTTCTGATCTGAGCTCGATGCTTCCTTGTGGAGAGTGAGGAGCTCAAAGCATTGAAACCAAACAATAACATAGGCTATCTCTGACTACATTATTAAATGAAAGCTGTTTGTTTGTTTTGTTTTTTTCTTCAGGTAACAGGAGTTGTGACAGATAAGGATGGAAAGGCCCATTACGTGCTGTCAGGAACATGGGATGAGAAGATGGAGTTTTCCAGGATAATGCAAAGCAGTAAAGGGGAGAACGGCACTGAAGGCAAACAGAGGACTGTATATCAGACCCTCAAAGCCAAAGAAATCTGGAGAAAGAACCCTTTACCGTAAGTTTTATAGACGACTGGTAGTTGAGAAGGTTGAAAGTGCTTTGAAGCAATTGACGCTGTGGTGCAGTCTGATGTTTTATGGTGATGTCTGTACAGAGATGGAGCGGAGACCATGTACTTCTTCTCCACGCTGGCCTTGACGCTTAATGAAACTGAAGATGGAGTGGCGCCAACAGACAGCCGTCGTCGCCCCGACCAGCGCTTAATGGAGGACGGCCGCTGGGATGAGGCAAACGCAGAGAAACAGAGGCTCGAAGAAAAACAACGCACTGCCCGTCGAGAAAGAGAGAGGGAAGCTGTTAAAGCAGCCAGCTCACCCGAGGAAGGTAGGAGAAGAAAGAAAGGAGCTTTGTTTTGGAGTTTATCTATTCGTCTTGTGTTTCTGTCCAATGTTTTTCTGTCCATTCATCTTTTGTCCACTTTGTCTGTCTTGGTATTCTTTGTCTACTTATCCCTGTCTCAACCCTAAGCTATCACTGAGGATTCAATCAATGACTCACCTTTGAAAAGCAAGTACTCTTCTTTTAGTCTTTTCTTACTCTTGATCTGCGCTTCATGTCGACGCTAGAATCCAAAGCTCACATGCAACTTGTCTGCGTGTGAAATACCAAGGTGCAAAATATCTTCTCTGTCATCTGTGTAGCAGCTCATCTACATTTTAATGTCCCTTCATGCATTTCTGTTCCATTTAGCCGATGTACAAGAGACTGGCACGGAAGCAAGTGAGGTTTCTGATGAAAGCAAGTATCATTTCACGGTTTGACATAGAGTGTCATTTTAAAGGTGCTTTGTGTGGCATTTTTAGAGACAAGTAAGAAAGAAGTTACCTGTATGCTGTTCATCGACTTGTTTCCCAATACTAGCGATTTCAAAGTTTCTCAAACTATTGGGATGTACGTGCTTTTTTGTGAATAGACGCCCGCTTCTTAAGTGTTGGTTGGGTTGATAGACAACTTAATTCCAAATTGACATCACAAAATGTGACCCTATTATTGGATATTAATATGCATGTGTGTATGTATATATAGTTCTCGTAAACAATTTTGACCAGCACTGATCCAAGGATTTAAACAATGAAAGTAATTTGTAAAACTATTCACACAACGCATTGCTTGTGATTGAAAGACCAAAGCCAACGTTGTGTTCCACAATACGCAGGTAATGAACATGATATATACCGAACAAAGACGTTCTGCTGTAATCTGTGGTGCTGCGGACGTTTGTGTTGACCACTTTGGTATTCCAGATCAGATTTTGGCTCTAACATTTATGCATGGATTTAAGAAGTTTCCATTTGCAATGAAGAAGGGAAAATGATGTTATTTTTTGTTATTTGGTATTTCACCAAATAACATCACCACATGATGTTATTTGGTGTTTTTACTGTTAGCATTCAGAACTTCCACACCAGCAAGATAACAGGCAGATTATATTTTGGATTATAAATCATGCAAAACTGTTTTAGTGGAGTCCCAGAAGAAAAGTAGAGAGCTGGAAATGAGCATAAGTGGTCCCCCTATAAGAAGAAGTGATCCTTTTTGACAGGAAGTGCTATATAAAATGAAGGTCAAAAATTGTCTGTTTTTTTGTTTCCAATAAGTCTGTTGAGCTGTCATTGTATTTGTGACAAGACTATACTGCCTAAGATGCAACACAAAGCACTTTTAAAATGTAAGCAAGCATTTGTGTGGATTTTGGAGAGTGTCCGAGTTGTGCATTTACATCTTTTTTTTGTGCTGGGGTTTGCTCAGCTGACACAGAGGACTCTCCCTCTCACACTCCTGTTGCATGCAAGTAGCCCCTTTCATTTTTCACTCACTGTTCTTTGTACCAGACATTTTCAGATCATACCTTCTACATGTCTTATCTCCCAAAGAATCATCCCTTGTTCTTTTTTTTTTTCCCCAGCCCCTTATGGACCATCACACTTCCCTTATCTAAGCAAGTATTCTGATCATAATATAACGCATATAATGGAAATATGTCACACTTTCTAGTGCATTTTTAAAATCCAGAGTAGAAAAACCCTCTGTTCAACTTCCATCATTTTCCTCTTTGCATCCTTTTACAACTTGCTCTCTCTTAGTGGAAGGCAAAGAAGGTCCTAATGGAACTCCATCTAAAAGCAAGTAACATCAGTCCTGCTCTCTGTTGTCCCGTGTGTCCTAGACGTTCCTATAGGAGAGTAGCTGTAGGTAACTCTAGAATTTGCACAGTAAGCCTAGTGCGAACACATTTGCGTGGCATTTTGTCTGTCATCAATCAGTGTACTTTGGCACTGGGTGGTTAGTGCATTAGTCATAAGCCTGGTTCTCTCGATGTGGTACATGATAGAGGAAGTCATTGATGGTTTCTGCCTCCTGCATTTTGTTTGACTAGGGTGCATTTGAAGACCAAGCGATTGGTAACATTCAATATGTTTGTCTCTTTGTCTGCCATCTGAGAGCATATCAGCTTCACTGAAGCCTGATATGCGGTCACAGTAGCCTCAGTGGCTTCTTAACCCTCGCCCCTCACCCCTCTAAAGCTTCTTTTTGGTAAAAGATTTTCCTTTCAATTCCTTCAGGCGCCCATCCAGACAACTACCAGGCACAGTGGTTCGAGAAGATTGATGACCCTGTATCCGGAGACACTTTCCATGTCTACAAGGGAGGTTACTGGGAGGCGAAAGACCAGGGAAGCTGGGACATGTGCCCTGACATCTTCTGATCACAGCGGAAACAGTTTCCCACAGTGGTAAACGAATAAGAAGAAGGTAAAAGGGGCGCTCCCCTCTACCAGCTAGAGTAGGAAATCAAGCCTGACATCAACCCATCCTCAGTGTCCGTTGCTTCCTCTGATCACCCCATTCAGCAGGATCAAGGTTATCTGGACTACAGAACTCCCTTTCACTGCCTCTTGATGTTGGTCCACCCACTGTTTGTTCCCAGTCCAGGCTCCTGTGAGCCAACTTTTGAGTTGCATTAACAGGTTTTCTGGTATTGTCATTATTCATTTTCATTGGACACTGTTTTCAGAGACATAATTCTTCCAGATGAAATCTTACAATGTACAAGGTTTGAATTGATAGAGTGATCTACAACCTAACATGTGATTTATGTGTTTGTTTTGGTTCTTGCTTGTGATTATTTTGAAATAAATTTATTGCAGCTTCCCCAGCTCAGCACCACTGTAAGTTTAATCAAAAGTATCTAATAGTTCATGCAGTGAATATTCACTGTTTCAGCCAGTCAGCTTAAGCTTCAGAGGTTTGGAAATCAATAACTTTCCAAGGAAATAATTAATGGCATGTTTCAGCAATTATTTTTGGAGTGTCACAAACACATAATACAGAGTTTGCCTTCGAATTTATGGTGATTTGTGGTGCTGCTTTAGTCTTTGAAGTGAAACAACACCTCTGGATGAACACTATATCTAAATGTTAGCCTTTTTCAATTTTTGCACTTCATTTGTTCATTTCAAAACCTATTGTCTCATTCATATTACTTTTTTAATCCCTCCAATATTTCTTCAAAACCTCTTTAAATACATGATATAGTGGTGAAGAGATGTAGCTTTTTGTGATGATGCCACTCCTCCTATTGGCCTGATAAAGTCTGGTTTGATCACCTTAACAATCCCTAAACACAGTTCTTAAATGGCTAAGTGCTTCAATCCCTATAAGTTGTCTTTTTTTTTTACTTTTTCACTCTTAAAGAATTTCCTTTTTCTACACTTTTGACAAAAAATACATTTCTGTGTGCAGCACATTAATGTGACTACATGTTCTTTATTTCATATGGTAACACATTGAATATCATTCAAACTGAAGTGCTGTTACCAAACATATGTATTGACACCAATGAAAATAACAATTTTCATTGCCAGTGGGAAGCAAAACATTTCTTTCACTGTCTTTTTGCTGAGTACAGGTGTTGACTTTTGGGTCACAGCCTGGTTAGATAAAATCATATTGTTTGTTGCAGTGTAATAAATCTACTCTAATCCTTATATTTAAAGTAAAATGTGTGAGCAAGTCCACTCTGCCTCTCCAAATACATGGATTTTAGATGTATTTTTGTAACTAGAAAAACCATTTCAGTTCCGCTTTCAGCGTAAATGTTTAGGCTTTTCATGTAACCAGTTGAGATTAAATTTAAAGCAGGTGAGCTGTGCTCCAAGTTGTCACTGAGATATACACACTGATTTCTACTGGCCTGATGATTTGTAAAGTGAAGGGAAATACAAGGCGAGTGCTTTTCCCTTCCTGGTTTCCTTTAAAACTTACTGATCATAGCTTTAATCTTGATATTCTAGTCTTTGTGTGCTGCGAGTGTAGATTTCTAACAGACAGCAATAAGAGTGCCTCTGCTCATACATGTGGCACAAAATGAAATGCGAGGGCAGTGTGAAGCAAGAACGCTGCAAAAAAAGAAAAGGAAAAAAAAAACGTAATTCCGTCTTTGCATTCGTCTCTGTTGTTGTTGTTTGTCGTGAGTGGAGGGACTGTGTGGTGGATACAAATCTAAACTCCATTTTATATTCAAGTGTACTTAAAATGAGAACACTCAAAATGAAGGCAATTCATAATGTTGCAAATGTTTCTGTGTAAATATATTAAATAGTAAAGTAATTGTGATAATAACTGGTTGCATTGATAGAGAATCTAAAGGCAGTGATGCACTTTTAATTTTTTTCTTTTTTTTTTTTTCCATTTTTCTTTCTTGTTTACTCAGAACTGGATATAGTTTCATTGTCCGACCTGAGTGTAGCATGTCCCCATGAGCCACCCTTTACCACCTCTGATAGCTTTCTTTTTTTAAATTATATTAATTTCTTTTTGACCTATATAATTCCTTACTACCTTCAACTGTTAATTTATATGCCACCTATATAGATGCTACACTTTGTCTCTTCATTATTTTTTTGGATTTAGTCCTTGGTTTCAATTGCGTAGACCCATCGTTCCATTTCTGTGTTTTTTTTGTTTGTTTGTTTGTTTTTTTTTTAGATTTCTACCTTTTTCATCCCTTTTATTGTCTCCAGCTACGAATTCTGCCCGGCACCATGGAGGCTGACACTGTCCAAGACGTTTCTTAAAAAGAGACTGAAGGTGTTCTTGCACTTCAGTACAATACATGAGTGATTTCTGACTTGATTTGACTGATAAATGGTCGACTTTAGACGTTGGCTACCGAAGAGTTTGTCATTTTGTGAGTTTGTTCTGAAAAGTTTTTTCCTGAACCATGTTCAAGAATTGCAAACAAATGTATTGATTTTCAATTCTGAGCATAGTTTTCACCATTTCTGTCCTTTAATGCAGTTTTTCAGCAAGATTGTGTTAAAAATTGACTGTATTAAAGTTTGAATGGAGATGATGCACCGATGTGTGGTTGTTGTTTTTTTCAACACAAAGCAGCTTTTAGCTTAAGCAGGCATTTACTTTTTATTTGTACCTGTTTGAACTACTGTATGAGTGGGCTCTACCTAGGAGGACTCTTAGAAAAGTCCTGTTCGAAAGATGTAGAACTGAAAGTACTCGTGCACAGTGGCTACTTTCAGAATGTGATATATGGAAAGTGACCAACGCCTTCATCTGTCAGCAGTGTTGTAATGTTGATGTAAAGTTAGTCTTGTCTGACTGCTTTTTGTTCTCATAAGTAGTAACATGTACTTACATAATTACAGTACCTGTGTAAATACTTTCCATTCCTGGTTACCTTGAAAACATTTCAAGCAAACTTCAGCCTTTGAGAGTCAGTGTTTTCTGTAGGAGGACAAATATATTCCCAAGTGCTTAGTACAGAGTAACAAGTCACCTGTCAAATCACAAATCTTTTTGAGCCAATGTTGTTACATTAACACTGTGTTTGATTATGGGGATGTCCTTTACAGATCGGCATGCAAAAGCTGGACATCCTCTTACCATGCTGCCATCCAGTTTGTAGCAAATGCTCTCTTTAGAACACACCACTGCACTCTGGGTTCTTCTCTGAATTGGTCATCTTTACATACCTGCCGTAAAATTCACTGGTTCATGTTAATATACAAAACTTTTCTTGGTATGTCTCCACCTCAGCATACGACACTCGTTCTGCAAACCTGTTTCTGTTGACAGTCCCTAAAGCTAATTCTTCTTTAGGTTTGTTGTCCTTTCAGTCTGCTGCAGCCAGAGACTGCAATGACTTACAAAAAACACTAAGGCTAGATGGCCTCATCTCCTTCAAAGTTCTTATCATTGACTATTTTAAAGAGAAATGTTGCTCTCACTTAGACTGTCCTGTTCATTTTGTGTGTGTGTTTTAGCTGTCTTTGTAAATACCTTGTTTAGATTGTATGTTTGATTTATTGTTTAGATTGTCTTGTTTGTCTTGTTTGTTTTAATTTAATCTTATTTTGTTTTTTAGCCCCCTTGTCCCTTTCCCCCAAAAGGACTCTCCTTTTTCCAGGCCACAGTTGAAAATAAGAACTATGTTCTTAATCTGTCTTGCCTGGTTAAATAAAGGTCAAATAAACAAAGCTGTGGCCATTTGTAATTACAGTTGGAGCCTACTTACGACAAATTACAGACTCCAGGATGAGAGCAAGCTGTATTTATTTCTATGTTTATTTATAGATTTTTGTTTAGGAGAGAAAACAACAGTAGAATTTGAAATCTCTACTTTAAGAAGAAAGAAAAGAAAGTTACATAGGATAGGAACAAACTGTCTTGATACATCACATTGCTATGTCAGAAGCAGGGCCTATTTCTTTGGAAATTTTGGGTGGTTTCAGAAGACCAGAAGTTTTGATTTTCAATTCTGAACTGAAATTGAAAGTTTAACATGTTTACAGTATTTAAGATTCAGCAGATTTGAATGTGACTCATTCAAACCAATACGAATCTAAGTTGTTGTGTTTGTTTGTTTGTTTTTCGAACCACTTAGACTGCTATGTGGGGGTGGGAGTTATAATTATAATAGTTTCCATAACTGAAAAAATAAAAATCCAAACTACGGCAAATATTCCCAGATTTCCATGTTTGGATGTGTGTTTGGACACAATTTCCCCAGAGTTTTTCTGACAGGACCAGTCTATTGGCCGCCCTCACCGGACACAGCGGAGTATAAAAGGAGCGCCTCCATCCTGCGCGTGACATCAGCATCTTTGTTTACTAGCAGCGCAGCCGCTCGCGCGCTCTCACTGCAGACACGTCCTCTGTTGGTTGGTTACTTGTTTGCGGATAATTTCTCAGCTCGGTTTATTTACCAAAAGATGTCGGAAAACGGCTCCGGAGCCACAGGGGACTGTACAGACGCCCGCCGAGACGACGGACAGCAGTGAGTCAGTGTTCATGGAGCTCGTTAGCGTCCTTTATCCGCTGCGGCTCATCGGCGCTTTGTTCTGTTGCGGTTAGCAGACAGTGGGGAGGAAACCGAGTGTCTTCCTGAACTCATAAGGCTGCTGTCGCGCCTTTTATCTTTTATCTGCTGTCTCTAACACTTTAGAGGGTTGTAATATTTAATTGCATAGCTGTATAAGGCACTATAGCAGGCCCTCTGTGAATGCTTCCCCCTTCACTTACACCAGCAGCTGTCTGCGCTCATGGGATAGTGTGACTGTAACCCCGCGTTCTGGTTTGCTGTCCTTCAGGTCGTCGGGGTCTCTGTCCGCCTCTCTCCCCATGGACGTGGATGCCAAGCCCCACTCCCACAGCTTCAGATATAGCCTGGATTTCCCCAGCATCGGCCAGTGCATCATCGTCAACAACAAGAACTTTGACAGGACAACTGGTGATTGTTTTGGTTATTTGGTTAAGCTTGTGGTTAGGTTGAGGCACCACTGCTGCGTTCAGTGAGTCATTGCACCTAAGGCTGAGTGAAAGTTGTGTTAGTATCTCACAGACTTAACTAGTCTTTCACTTATGTGTATATAAAATGACTATTGAATATAGGGTCAATGGAAGACTACAAGCTCTCTACATCATGTGTGCAATTAAATAACAAAGTACACAAACTGCTTCTCAACTTCCTCAGAGGTGAAACGATGTTTGTTCAACTCGTGGCATGCGTGGAAGGGAACTGGTATTTATTTGAAGAGATCATTTGCAACAACAGATAACTCCATCTTTACAAACCTTCAGAAAACCCACTTTTCCATCGTCTACCTGAGACAACATCAGTCAAACTTAAGTTATCTCTGTTTTCGTTGTGTCATTTCTACTGAGTCAAATCCACTCAGCTTAGTGTGATTGATATTATCTCAAGCTAACAACAAAAACATATGTTTTCTGAAAATCTACAATCATTGAGTTATCTGTTTTTGCAAATGAACTCTTCATTTATTCTCCTGTATGATGCAAACAGTGGATTACTGTCTAAAGAAAAAGGTAGATGATCTTGTACACTAATGAGTGGAGACTGCATATTACCAGGAAGAAAATGGAAACGGTTTCCTCAGAGAGATTCTCTTTCTACACATAGTACTCACTCATTTAAAATAGGATCAGCTAAACAGTGTATAATAGCATACATATCTCAGTTATACATAAATTTCCTAAAAGGTGTTGAGGTCTGTGCCAAGTTTGCAGGTGGAGGAATAAAAGGTAGAAGTGAAAGCCACATGATCCAGACTTTTTCAGGCTTTTGTGTGTCCTCTGGCTGATTGAGCTGTTGGACTTCAGTGCCTTTACAAGTTTCTCCACATGTGAACAATTCATTGATTTCAATTCAAAGTCACAATTTGGGACAATGCAATTTACAGATTGCAAAGACTGCAATTAATAATGTAGATTTTGCAGCGTGTCTTGCTCTGGGTTTACAAATTCATGCTGCCCTTCGTGTGTGAGTCACACTGTTTAAGGTTGCCATGTGGTGAGGAGCCATCACGTTTTTACTCTGTTACACAGTGAGTGCTGAGCTGCAAATCAAATCAAAATATTTGTCAGAAAAATCACAATTAGATGTTTTCTTCGAGCTGTTCAGTCCTCGTGTGATTCAGTGCAAATGTATGTGCCCAGCTGACATCTGCTCACTGTTGAAGTTTGACAGTGTGTGAACAGTGAACAGGGAAGTAGTAAAACACATTTGTTCAGTGTGTTGGTTTCATTTTGTTTTCTCTTGACCGCTTTACTGGGAACTGTGCAATGCTTTGTTGAGTAAGCGTACTGATGATGACTTTGTCTGAGTTGGCTGTTGTCATGGGAAGTGGTTCACCCAGACTGGTTAACACAAGGTTAATGGATCAGTTGGCTCAAATGTTCACCTTTAAAACTTTCATTAGGACTCGGATGTTTGCTGGCACTCAAAGTGTCTGTTATTTCTGTCACAGTGGTCCATGTTGGTGCACTTTTTACTTTGTTCCACAGTTTTGGTAGATTAATTTGACACTTCTCTGGATGATGCTTGTGAAGCCTGTAGTTCAGTGCAGGTGTTTGAACACAGGATCAATTAGACTAAACACCTGCTTATCTCAGAGTGGTGAGACCCATCTTCACTGTTGACAAGTGTTTGTTTCTGTTTCTGATTAGTTAGGTGTGTTTCTTTCCATTTGCAACGTTGTTTTTTTTTTTACTACATGATGTTGTGCACACTGGGATGTTGTGAACTCCATACAGGAACGGCTGATGCTGCCTTTTTGTGGAGTGAGGCTTTGTTTTTGACTGTCACTGTCTCGGTTTATAGTAAAGCATCTCACATCTGACCCTTCATGAGATGGTAGGTGTGCTTGGGGACTCTTGTTGCTGAGGATACCGTTTAACTGGATCCTGTGTCAGCTAATTAGATGTTCAGGTTACCTCTGTAGTCGTCACTATGTTGGCTGTAGAGAGAATGAGAACAAATATTTGCACTTGTATTTGATAGCATAATACAATTCACTGACTCCCAGTGCAATGTCCTGTTAGTGGCTCATGAAGATGAATAGTTCCTCCTAGAATTTGATGTAGACTGTGGAGAGTTGTATATATGGACATGTACCATGTCAGAGAATTGCTTCTCTGAGGATATAAAAGCTTGATGTCTGCAATAGTTGGAGATGCTGTAGGAAACCTTGAGCTGGCCTTAGTCCTTGTCTACCCTGTCGGGTTATTGCACAATGTAAGCTTGAATAGCAAAGAAGCAGCATCTCCTATTATTGAAAGAACCTCTAATATCTGGCTGGGAAGACCTTGGATATCAGTGCAAGAGAATACAGCGTCGGTTTGCTCTTACAGAGTCACAGTGTAATAGATTTACTTTTCTGTCAGACTTATGTTCTGAAAACCTGTCTAGCATGACTGAAAGAGCACACATGACTGCATTTACAACACGTACTAAATGTTCTAAGAGCAAGTACATAGTGTGAGTGGAGTAAACAGCAGCAGCAGTAGTTAATCCTGTATTGCCTGGTTTATTTAGTTTTTACCTGCAGAGCTGGAGGTTAAAAAATACAGTGTTTTTCAATATTACGCTGCATTTTACTGAAGAGACATTCATGATTATTTTTACACTTTTTTTACACCAAATCAGACATATAATGGCAGCTTCAGGGAAAAAAAACTGTATGTTGATGTGTATTCTATTTATAGGAGGGGAAACTAAGTTGGGTCAAAGTGGGTAATTCTGAATTATGAATGCTGATGGGTTATGTGAATGCAGACACGCCATAGTACGAAAAGCACGGGTGTTCCCTTAACATGAACAATAGCTCTTTTCAAAGTGTCCCAATAAGCCATGACAGCAAACCAGAAAAATGAAACCAACCTTAAATAATTTTATTATTTACAGCTGTATAGGTGTTTTCATTCTCTTCTGCCTGATTAGATCTCTGCTCAGGTTGAAGCTGGATGGAACAAGAGGTTACTAGAGATCTTGTACTAATTAGCATAGTTGCACTACAAAACACAACCAGCACAGGTTGGACATGGTTTTTACCTTCTTAAAATCCAGCACATAATACGACACATGCTGACCTCAATTACTGGTCCTGTGCGGCACATAAACAAAATAGCCCATGTAGTAAAAGAACAGGAAATAAGACAGACATTTAAAAACATTTTCCACATTGTCTACTGTGGCTGAATCCATATGGAGTCAACGTTTAAAACTGTAAAAAGATGAAATTGCAGTTTATCACAGCATCTCTACTGCCTGCTGCTGTTTGAATATCAGCTGGTACAGATTCACCACACCTGCTTTCTCATGTAAGATAAGACAGACTTCAAAGTTCTGCTGCCTATGATACATTTAATCAGGTTTCCTCGACCTTGCTGCTGTGTGTAAAACGAATTTTAAGAAATGGCAGCTTATTGTTTGTAGATATGTTTTCATTTTGTTTTTTCCAAATCAACTGTTACTGTGTGCTTCTTTTTCAGGCATGAATCAGCGAAATGGTACTGACGTAGATGCAGCCAACGCAATGAAAGTCTTTGCCAAGTTGGGTTACAAAGTGAAGGTTTACAACGACCAGACAGTGGAGCAGATGAAACAGGTTTTAACTGCCAGTGAGTGTAATGCAAAACGTATACAAATGACCTCAAAACTTGTAGACAAACAAATTACTTCTAAAGCTCCTGCTGTGTATCAGCTGTACATTCTCTTTGTTTTTCAGTGTCAAAGGAAGATCACAGATCCTCAGCCTCATTCGTCTGTGTTCTGTTGAGTCATGGAGACGAGGGTGTGTTCTTCGGCACAGATGGCTCAGTCGAGCTCAAGTACCTGACGTCACTTTTTCGAGGTGATCGCTGCACGTCACTAGTGGGAAAGCCCAAACTCTTCTTCATCCAGGTACTGTACGAGTTTTTTTTTTTTTTTGGACCTTTTTTGCCCACCTGCACTAACTTATCTTGGGCTTTGTGGAAGTATTGAGCATGTAAACAAATGTTATTAATTTGTGTGCACACTGAATAGGCCTGCAGAGGTACTGATCTGGATGCAGGCATTGAAACGGACAGTGGAGAAGATACAACCAAGATCCCTGTGGAAGCAGACTTCCTCTACGCCTTCTCCACAGCACCAGGTTAGTACTTAAACACAGGTGTTTTTACACGGATACTGTTTTCTTTTTAAATGTTGTATTAATACACCCCTCATTCTATCACGCGTGTGCAGGCTACTACTCATGGAGGAACACTATGACTGGCTCCTGGTTCATCCAGTCACTCTGCGATATGGTCAGCAAATATGGAAAAGAGTTGGAGCTCCAGCACATCATGACACGAGTTAACCACAAGGTGGCGGTAGAGTTTGAGTCTATCTCCAATTCACCAGGCTTTAATGCAAAGAAACAAATCCCCTGCATTGTGTCAATGCTGACCAAAGAGATGTATTTTACTCCTTGATGTCGTGTCCACATCACGAGTCTTCAACCTGGCGGGCCTTTTATCTGCAGAAGAAAGGCCTGCAGGTGTGTATGGGAGGGTGAGAATGGTTTTAGTTTACACTTTCTAAGTGAAGTTCACTTGAAACTTGTATATTTCTGGGAGAGTAGATGTGATGCAGTCACATTTCACAAGCTTGGCATTATAAGGTTCTTTCAGTGTGACGTGTAGTTTTGATATGTATGGAATTCATTTTTTTACCCCAGCAGCATGTCCTTATTTTTTTACAGTTAACAAAAACCTACAGGTAATAATGGTAACTCCAAGCTGGCAGCGTGCTGCCAGGTGCCTCTTTGCTGTTTACACTCTACACATTTCAGGGAAACATGTTAGGAGCCAGTTTAATAGGAAGTTTGACCTTCTGTATTTGTGTAATCATGAAACCACAGATGGGCTTTCTGCCCTCTAGCAACAACATTTTTATGGATCAGCAGTTTATTGTAACTCAAGTGTCTGAGCAACATGATAGTGTGTTATGAAGGGATCACGTCTGTAATTTTTCTTGGCTTTCCGTTCTTATCTCTCCGCTACCGTGTCAGTGTAGTGGCGTCTGACTTGAAGGTTGTACAACCAAAACATAACAGTAATTTACTGAATTGGTACCCAATGACTCGTGTGAAGTCGACATGAAAGCAGCAGCTGAACTTGGGAGGTAAATTAATGTGTGGAAAGTTCAGGAGCACCCTGGAAGCTGCTGTGTGATTTGTAGGTTATGAAGCTCAGAAGTAGATATTTTTTCAGTCTTTTTTTTTTTTTTTTTTTGAACATGGATTTCTTTGAATGAACTGTTGCTTGTGAATATCCTCAAAAATTAGTGGGAACACAGATTTTATGGCATGCATGAGTAATAGTGCTGTTTGAGGTGCATTTTGATCAGCTGTTCACACTTGAACTCAACTTTACATTTAATTTTTAACAGTTGTTCCCAACCAGTACACTAAAGCTGAAATGAATAAGTTGATAAATCAATGACACAATTAACAGAAAATTAATTGGCAACAGTTTTAAAGTAATCTTAAGTAAAAAAAAAAAAAAAAGAGGGAGAGAGAACGAGAGTAATCACTTGTACCAGCATTTTGAATGTGAATTTTTGCTTTGTGATCGTACATTTTTTACTGTTGGCCAGACAAAACTAGAAATTTGAATATCTTCACTTTGGCCTCAGGGATTATTGATGTGCCTTTTTTACTAAACAATTGGCCGTTTAAAAAAAAAAAAAAAAAAAGCCATATTGAGACGCATTGGTGATTTAAAAGAAAAGTCTGTGGTTGCAGACTTACAGTACTCTGATGAAGGAATGCCTGAGGTTTTCTGTGTTTTAATCATGTAGCACAGAAAAAAAAACACAACAGCAACAAACAGAAACTAAAGCAATCAATTCACACAGTCCCTCTACACAAGATGGGAATGAAAGACTGATCATAGGTGATTTTGTACTTCAGTGGTGTAAGTTTCTCACATTCATAATTAATCAAATGTGTAAACCTATAATCCAGTGAATTGTTGTAGAATTGTTGATTCAAAGTGGTATATGTACAACAGACAAAGCACAACTTATTTGAACGTGTGCTGATCCCGCTGGTGCTCATTTGATCGCTTTCAATGTTTACAGCAAACAAAGCTGTATCTGTCACTTGTGCTGTTAAAATATTTCATTCACTGTTAAAAATGTGACAATCCAGTTTAAAGTCACATTATGCAACATGTTGCTATGAACATCACTCCTCTGCTTTTTTTGTAGCATCACTGTTTTGTAAGCAGCTATACTGTGAGGTTGGTGTAATGTTATCCCTTAAAATAAAGACCACTTTTCATCCTGTGTTGTGGTACAGAGTTTTGTTTTTGGCTCATAAACGATATTAAACCAGAGCCAGAGATTACCCAACTCTTGCAGATGTGTTTCTGGCAAAAGTTGCCAGTGTTGTTCGTATCGCATAGAAGAGCCAGCCTCAACAAACAGCAAAGGATCTACTTGTGTACGCCGTCTTGAGTGTAAACAGGGCGGATTACACCAGATTTGGCATGCCTGGAGGTGAGAAGAACTGGGCCACCAGATCCTGAGGCCCAGCGCCAAATAACACTGGGCCTCAGAGTCCTTCAGTGCCAACACAGAAGCATTTTACCTAAACCTGCTCTCACAAGCAACAGACCTCAGACAGTATATCCTGATACAAAAACTCTAAGCCGAAGCTCCTCTGGTCAGTGCTGGAGTTTGTTTAAAAAGCCACACCTTAACCTTATCAACACTCATCGCTCCTGGCTGATATGATGCTGTCAGTTGTATTGTATGATTATTGTTTGCATTGGGACATACAACGTTGCTTTTGTTGGTTTTATCTGTTACCTGCTACCTGCAACGTTTGCTGGGGCCGACCTGTTATCTGGAGCTCCCTGTGGAGTCCCTATTGTCCAACTGCATGAACACTGACCTGAACCAGTTTTTAACTGTTAGCTGATCCCTCTTTGAGTCACATGTTCAATCTCACAAATTTACAATCACTTGATTTTTCACGATTATGTAATCAAATACCATGATTTGTACAGTTTAGTTGCAATCTGATCGGACTGCAGCTAATTTTTGTCAATGTTCAATCCCCATATTGTTTCACCATTCAACTGATTCTTTTTAGGAAATGCTATTAAAAATATTGTACAAAGTTGTAGAATATTTTGAGGGGACTGATTTCAATTCAGATTCTGTATCAACATCAGAGACTGAATTGAAATCAGTACCCTCAAAATTTTACCTTTTACTACATCCAAGAAAAGCAATAAAGTCCCAGCTGCAACAACCTCCGACTTTCAAATTGTGGCATTTTGCTGAGAAAAATACTGTCGTTGATGACTTGATAATAGATCTATGAATTATTTATTCGTTTCTGACAATTGTAAGATTGATAAGTCAAAAAATCACTCCTAATAATCATATATCCAGTAGTAAGACATGTTGTTGTATATGCTGATGAGCCCACACAGGATTACATTATGTGTTGAAGCATATTTATGTTCCTTGATTTATGCCAATAAATGATCAGCACATATGAGATGAGTCCTCCTACATTATAATGCAAAAACAATCCTCTAATAAATATTAACATTTGGAAGCAGCTACCTTCGCTGTGTTTTGTAGTTCTGTTCTGGATTGCATAGCACTGTAGAATGTTAAAGAAAAAAATAAACGTTTTCTCCTCATCTTATATTCCTTTTAGTTTATAATGAGGTAACTGGAGGCTTCCATATTCATATCATATATAAACAGGGGTGTTGCAATTTGGGGGTGTCGATGAAAACCATGATATTTAGATATAAAGTACTGACATCATGTTAATACCATACATATAATAACAGTGTAAATACTCCAACACCACAAGAAAACACTTCAACAAAGGAATAATATACCATCTATTCACCTCCATACGCTCCAAAAAGCCCCCCACCCCTCCAAAAAAAAAAAAAAACTAAGAAAAAAACAGCGACAAAGCACCCAATAAACAAAGTAAAAGATGAATTTGAGTTGAAGCCAAGATTATCATGTAGTTAAAATGTGATGTGATGTGTTCTGGACACTGGTAACAATGTTTTATGTCAGCCTGTATGGGTGTGTTTGGAATATTTTTACATATTTCTTTATAGTGCTTTATGATGTTTTATTTTTAAATTCTGCAAATCAGACTGAAAGACAAATATCCTTTACTTCACAATAAAGTCAGACTTAAGTTGAACTTGAGTTTGCACCATACAGGTGTTCATATTATTAGTCATATTAGTGTTAAACCTAAACGTTTTTTTTTTTTTTTGGTGTCTTGATTCATATATTAAACTGACTGCTTTTCTTGTTAACAAGTAAATCAGCACGAACACAACTTCTAACAAACACTCAGACTCGGGCAGCGCAAAGTGGAGAGGAGGAGTTTACGAGGAGCGCATGAACGCACCACGAGTCCTCGCCTCTTTAGTGGCTGAAAATAGGCCCTAATGCTCTGTGACAGTTGGACAGAGGAGTGCTGGCTGCTCTGGACGGAGGATCAGGTTGCTGATTTCCCTGACTTTCCATGGAGCACCTGTGGGTAACACTTGGAACACCGTGGCGCACGCTGTGGATGTGCGCACCGAGCTTCACTCCACCCTGCAGGTTACAAACATGCCACAAGCACTTCAGCGCCACAGTTTGGACGCAGCTCTAAGGACACAACAATGCGGTGCAGTTAAGAGACTCTAGTTTAGCTCAAGCGACAATGGAGAAGTTCCTGCAGATCGCTCCGCACTCTCTGGCTCTGGTGCTGTCGCAGGTTTGCCGGGAAGATGAAGAGGACTCACCGCCGTCATCATCATCACCACCACCACCACCGGCCGTGATCCCGGTAAAGTTCCAGCATCAGTCCGGGTACGAGGTGTTCGCCAATTTCAAAGCCGTCAACATGCAGCATTATTGGAACAAGGCGCTGACGCACGCGCTTTCCGAGATCTTCTTCCTCGGCTGGATAGACGAGCAAGTGCTGCTGATCCAGGGCAAGGAGGTTCATCTTCAGGTGCTCAGGAACGGATGGACCAGACGGACCCTGAAACCACCGCGGGGCTTTGACATCAAATGCATAGGTGCGTAAATTATCCAGACAAGTGTGAACAACAGCCACAAAGCAGCCTCCAACAGTGTGGGAGTCCTCTGAGGGGGATTTTCATTCCACATGTTTGATATGAGGGAAGCTGTTTGGGTTAATGTTTGGAGACGGTGTTTTATCTGTGAGTGTGGGAAATGTGACTAAAAAAAGGAACAACTGACTAAAAGGAAATATCACGTTAAAAAGAACAGTAAAAACAGGTGTTAAGGGAAAGTATAGGTTTAATCAAATAGACTTGATGAGGTCTCCTGCTCATAATATCTGCAGGGAAAAGACTAAATAACTGGTAGGCCACATTAATAAGCAGTTTTGCAGGCAGCAATCCCCATGTGCACCCTTCAGAGCTGGTATCAGACTTGACTTAGCAAAGGCTTTACCTATAATAAGGCTTATTTGAGGTTTTAAATCAAAAGTCAAAGTTTATTTCTGACTCTCTAAAAGTGCAAAAACATGTAAAAAATGAATAAATTAAAAATGAATAAACTAAGGGCATGTGTGTTTACTGAGAACTCAGAGCTACCGACTGTCATTATACACGTTTCCCAGGTTCTTTGTTTATGACTTTATTTGACTCGTAGCGTGACGCTCATGATCTCATCAACACAAACTCTCTTAGCAAGTCTCGGCAAAAACTGAGTATTGACATTAAACTCCCCTGATTGATCTATCGCTCTCTAAAACTCATCTCTGTCTATCAAAGTTACTTATTTCAAAACTTTTTCCCCATCGAATTAATCCTCTCATGCCACAAAATGGCTCAAATATGTTGCCTCCGTTAGTAAGTGCAGATCTATGAAGTCCTTGCCTCTCTCTCCGGGCACCTCGCCTCAATCGCTGCAGCTTGAGCACTCCGGCTCACCTTGTGCTCTGCTCGAACACTGTAAAACTACTCTACACCACACTATGTCAAATTTTAATTTGAATAATTCAGCCACATGATTGAATCAGAAGCCGGTCCTGAAGGTAAACTAAGATAGGGGAAAGCCCTACTGCACAAATTGACGTGTGAATCCCTGGAACTCTGAATCTGTGTTGTTGAGACTGTCATCGGTACTCTGCAGTTTTAAGGTGGAAATGCTCAGCCGTGGCCCTGAGTGCTTATTTCACTAATGTCTTCCAGCGTATAAAACCATACGGACATGCTATCAAGGTAAATAATTAGGTTTTTAACCAAGGAAGTCACTAAGGCCTCGTACATCCACTGACTTTATCACACTCTTTTTTTTATGCTGATTTCCTCACCTTTTTAATAGCTGGCAAATACCTTTGATTAGTATTGAACGCTACGTGACCCTCCTTGTCTATAGTTTTGGACTAAAATACTTCCCCCTAAAGGTTTTTATGGGATATTGTGGGAAGAAGAGGAGTGAGTCAAGCTCAGATCTCTGCTGGCAGGTGGCACGAAACCAGTCGAAGCTAGTCTGAATGAAAAGGGGAGTTTCGGCATCACTCCACCTTATAACCTCTGCCGCTTCATGTCACGCAGGCTTACTCATTCAGATAGAAGAGTCAGGACTGAGGCTCATTTCTACTCCAGTTCCACATTCCCACACTCGTACTGCTCTTCTTCTGACAAGGCAATAACTCATGCATGTGCCGAGACAGGTTTGGACGACGTTAGGTATTGTCAGCAAGTCTAACCGCTGTGTGTGTGTGTCTACGGCCTTTGTGTGTGTGTGTGTGTGTGTGTGTGTGATTGTGTGTAAATGAGAGCGAGGTGGCCAGCATGTCACACGTCATCTTATTTATGTGTGTTTCTCAATAAAGCCTGGTTGCTCCATCAGCGAGCAGCATCAAACTGCAGCAGATAAGTTGAACACAGTGTGATGATGCAATGAAGCTTTGTATTTTTAGCACTTGTCTGTTTTGGTGTATTGATTACATGACACTGTGCGTCAAGACATGATTAATATCACTACTTTTATTAAAAGCGTTTCTCCTGTAATTCCAAGCAATAAATGTGAAAGTGGCTTCTGGCAGTGTTTTAGTGTGGAAGTGTGCCGTCTCCACTGGCATCATAATAAGAACTAATGCACTCTTGTCAATTGAAACACAAACCCTCTAGGAAGAAGGCCCCATTGATACACAGCAAATTGCATTTATCTAAAGATGCACCAGCCAGTGTTTTAATGGTAACAACGAGTCAACTGTCAACCAACTCTGCATGCCCCCTTTATTTCAGTAGAGCATTTTAGTGTCT